CCGCCGCCGCCAGAGCTCGTCACGCCGCCACCGCCGCCGCCTATAGTCGAGGAACCGCCGGAGGCGGCGGCCGAGCCCCCGGCCGAGGAACCGCCGAAGGTGGTGGTCGAGGAAACGCCGGAGGCGGCGGTCGAGCCGCCCCCGGTCGAGGAAATGCCGGAGGAGAAGGAGAAGGAAGCGGCGGCCGAGGAGGAGAAGGTGGAAGAGGAGAGGCCTGTGGAATCGGAGGGGAGCCCTATAACGGATACGGGCGAGGAAATGCTCACACCTACGACGGAGGAGGATCTGGTGGAGTCGAGCGACGCGAGGGAGGAGGAGGAGGCGAGGGCGAGGCCGAGACCGGTCCCCGCCGAGAGGAAGGAGGAGAAGGTCGTCTCGCCGGAGAAGGTTATGGTCCCGACGCCGGAGGTCCCAGCGTTGGATACGCCGAGGCTGCCGAGGATCCAGCTGCACACGAAAATTCCACCGGAAATGGCGAGGGATTTGGAGGAGGCCCGTATGCACGTGAACGTGCAGATGCAAACGTCGAACACGATCCTGACCCAAATTTTGTCCGAGTTCCAAACGGGGACCCAAAAACGGCAGCTGATGATGAGCATCAAGCTGCACTCGGACATAGACGACGACGACGACGACGACGACGAGGACGAGGAAGACTTCGATATCGAAGTAAGGGAGAATGGACCGGTAACCGGGATCGAATTGTTTAAATAATCGGGCCTGGCCAAGTATAATAATAACGATTAAAAATATCGCTCTGCTCCTCTCTGCTTCTCTCTGTCGACGCTTCCGACCGTGTGACGTGTTAATTGATCGTATGCGTCGCCTTCTTTTTAAATTCATCGAAAGTGTACGTGGGAAGAAATAGAAGAGTTGCGGAGAAATATGATGGAAATGACGATGGATTGACGAAATCGAATATTCCAGGAGCTGCCCGTTCGAAGACAGCTGTTCATAGATGACGACGACGACGACGATGACGATTTTGAAGAAGAGCGATCTCTTCCTATCGAGCAGCGACAAGTGAGGCGGCCGTATCCACGTCGATACGATGTTTCCACGAACACGAGTAAGGGAGAGCTATAGTCTAAAGAAAAGTATTTATTTATTGGAAGAGGAGAGAGAAAGGACTTCCTCCATTCTTCCCTCCTTCGCGCTGGAGTGGTATTTTAATACCACGTTCGTCCAGCAACGAGAGCAGAGGTTCAATCGTTTCTCGATCATATTTCTTAGTGCGTTTATTCCATTGATTATACGTGCGAATAGCAGAGGTTAGTTCGTAAAGGGTCGTGCAACTTCTTCGAGGGGAAGATATTCGGGACGCAGGGTAGCAAAGCATTTTTGGATCGTTAGAATTATTCTTATTGGAGAAATGTTTAGTAAAATAAACGGAAATAAGAATTCGTCGCGAGAAACGCGAACAGACACTTGATTAAAGATTTCTTTTTGTTTTTTGTGAGTTACGTTTAAAAATATTACGTATTTATGTAAATGTATCAAAATTTGGCGACAATGTTATTAATATTAATTTGTTGCTAAATTGTCGTAGAAAAGGGTCAAGAATTTTAATAACTTGATAAAAATAATAATTGGAAATGATAGTGAGTTTCTGATTTTCAGATGCAAGTTACACATTCTGCAGACCTTGCGGAAAATGGAAATGATGGCTTCGATAATGGTAAGAAAAATCTTTTTTGAAAAGTATATATATAATTAAATTTTAATTTTAAAACAGAGATAATATATATTTTCTATCGTACATTCATCTAATTTTTTTTTTTCGTTGAATTATAAATATACCCGTTACTTTCTATTCATTTTCACAAAGAATCATTTACACGGTCGAATCACCACAATTACACGCAATCATACACGATATATTATACAATTATTTAACGAAAAGCTAATAATAATAATATCCTATATTCACCGCACAAAAACGAAACAATAATCCATACGAAACGTATTTCAGTTCGTTATCGATAAATGACATGAACACCCATAACCTGTAAACACGATGTAATACATTTTAAATTTAAAATTTAAAAGTACGACCCCCCATTTCCACTGAACATTTTCACCGAGCCAAACATTACACGAACAAGAAAAAAAACGGGATCGTTAAACTGACCATCAATCCAACACGCATAATCATAAAATGGTTACTTAACCAAACGTACATCCCAACAAATTCTTCATTCAAAGAAACTTTTCTACACGAGGGACAACCTGTGCCTATAATTCATTCGACTCGAACTCTTTCCCTAGCATAGTTACATCGACACCTGTCGAAACCTGTGGAAAGACAGCGTAATCGAGAGGAATAAACTTGGTCGTTATGAAGTTGCGCGATTCAGTTGCACGTCAATCCCTGGGACAACCGTAACCTGACAACCGTTATATCCGTGAAGAAGGCGGGCAACATTCCAATCTTGATAAACTCGGATAAGAACGATTGCTCGGATTCGTATTACGTGACAACAATGACCGACAACAAAAATGCCTTGATCCAGTCGATCGTGAAAACGGACAATGTGCACATTACCGCGGAGATATACTTCAAGACGAAGTGCAATAAGATATTCGCGCATTGCAAAGTGCCGAAACCCCAACAGAAGCTGTACAAGGACGAATGCGTGATCCTTCACGCGGCAAGATCGAAGGCCGTCAACATACCCAGCGATTCCGAGCTGGTCAACAATTCTGGCTGCGACGACGATGGAAAAACATCTCCCAAGACCATCTGTATCACGCCCCAGATAAGCATGATCATATGCAAAAAGTCCTGCCCGAATCTGATATTGATGCAATTTTCCCAATCCTCGCAAACCGCGAGGAGGACGAGGTCCATGGACGACAAATTCGATGACTCGGATCACGAGATCCCAATGAAAAAATCGATATCGCAGAACTCGATGGAAGTGCCGCTGAAAAATGAAGCGGAGGCGAGGAAGAACGTGCCGCCGAGGAAGAACGTGTTGCCGAAAAATGACGTAGCTACGAAAAATGAAATAGTGACGACGAATGAGATAAAGACGAAGAACGAGATAATGTTGAACGAGAAAATGTTGGTAAACGACGAGACCTTTATAAAGAAGAATACAACCGTAAAGTTGATGAACGGGAACGATGTGATAATTACGAATGACGAGAAGGCGAAGCTGATCGAGGAGGATGAGCCGAAGATGATCGAGGAGGATGAGGCGGAGCAGATCGAGGAGGATGAGGCGGAGCTGATCGAGGAGGATGAGGTGGAGCTGATCGAGGAGGATGAGGCGGAGCTGATCGAGGAGGATGAGGCGGAGCTGATCGAGGAGGATGAGGCGGAGCTGATCGAGAAAGATGAGGCGATGATAGAATACCCGGAAAAAATAGAGAAGGAGATGGTTGAGGAGCGGGTGGAGAGCACGCAGACCGAGCCGATCCCTACCAAGGACATAGCCATCGATTCGAGAAAGATGAGAAACGACATAGAGAAATACATGAACATGAACAAGCAATATAAGAATTCGTTCTTCGAGATGGGCACGATTGCGCATTCGTTAATGTGGCTGGATAAACCGAAGAGACCGCCGAAGGAATGCAGATTGCTTTGCCCGCAATCGAGCAGATGCATCTGCTCGGGGATAAGCGATCTGGCGCTGCCTTGCGAGGTGTGCGATCAACGGAACCATTGCTATCGCACCGATGGATCGGATCAATTTGGAAGAAACGGGAACGATTATTGCTCGAGCGCGTACTCGTTTCAATTCGATCATTACCTGAGGAGCTGCTACTATCGTAACAATATATACAATTATTACAATAAAGCGATCAACTGCTATCGGTCTTACAACAATATGCACTGCTGTGCCAGGACTCAATCGAACCAATTGTCCAATTATTGTTACTCTTACAATTCTTGGGGATACTCTTGACACATACACACACACATACACACACACACACATACACACACATATATATATATATATATATATATATACACATAATTAA